ACAGCTGCTGCAGTCAGGGAAAAAAAAAAAAACCTGGCATAGGAACTAATAGCTAGATTGCTATATAGAAAGGGCACATAGAAAACAATGTGCCCTTGCAGTGACCTGCATAGATCCGTGAACGGGCCCTTAATGTAGAACGCATGGGTGGTCCGATCAGGTCTGTCTGTCATTGGAAGCCCAATGTTACTCCATGTGCAGCCAGAAGTGAACGCAAGTATGTCCGTTTACATCCAATTACCCCCGACTCTAACATGGGTCCCATATGCCTAACATGGGTTCGGTTAGTTCAGGCTTTCCTCCATCGCAAGAGTGAGATCCGTTCCATTCTTCTCCACTCTGTGCATGGATCCCCTGCAGATTGGAACAGGCAGCGCCCGTGTGGAAATAGCCTAAGTCAGAAAACATCAACAAAAGCAGCACGTCATTTTTCTGTCCAGCACATTTTAAAATGGCACAGCCAGGACTAGAACAAAGAATATTAAGAAAAGAAGATCTGGCAATGTTTTTACTATAAGCAAGCTTTATTCTACCTGCTCACAGATGCATGACAAACACTTCTGTGGGATTAGTGAGCAGATCGCTGAGGCTGATTAAGGAATAATATCTTGTTTCTGTGATAATGCCTTATCCTCAAAATCAGGAGTGCGAACAGGTTAAAGGTGACATTACTGTTCCATTAGCTCTCACAATATAGTGAACTAGAAGTTTCTGAAATTCCCATGTAGGTGTTGCAAATATGCCATAGTTTACACCTCCCAGGGCAGTGTCTTCCAAATCCGTCTTCTGTGACGACTAAAAGGTCACGCAATTCTATAATCAGTCGAACATGAAATTAATGAATCTAAACTCCGGACAAACTGATACTCATTTAAGTGTCCATAGCCTGGCCGCAGTTCCACTTTAAAGGCTTGTCTACACCTATACATGCTATGCAATATATTAAACCATCTTATTTTTCTTTTTTTATGATTAAGAGGCCCAGACTTTGGTAAAATCACTTTTTTTTTAGTTGCTTGCTCTCTAGCTGTCCCCAAACCACTAAGCTGCCCAACACCCGCCCCCCTTCCCCCCTTGCTGTTCGCAGGTGTTAGCAAGGGGGGCAGGGGTTGGGGACAACAGTAATTAGCAAGCAGGGTGTGAGGCCTCCCACAGACATGAGATCAGTGCACAATCTTGCCATATTTAGTCATCTCATTTCTTCAGTGTATCTTTTCTGGATACAGAAAACAGAAGTGTCCCACAGACACATCTTTTGTTTTCCCAATTTGACCCAATTTTAGATGGTTTTGCCAGCCAAGATTAAACCTGAGTTTCTTGACAGCCAGAGTACAAGAACATTATATAAAAACTGTGAACTGCCAAAGAACACTTTTGGGTGTAAATTCCCTTCTCTAAAGGATTCTCATTCCTCATTCTCCCATACTATAACAGCACAATATCTAACAGGGCTATTCACAGAAGGTGAAGAGTTTGGAGAAGGCAGGAGAAGTGACCAATCTAGGACAACATAGCTGAACTGGAAACATTTTCCAATTCAGCTCACTTTGCAGCTCAGCTATGTTGTCCTAGATTGTTCACTCCTCCTGCCTTCTCCAAACTCTTCACCCTTTTGTGAATAACCCTGTAAAAGTTTGGCTTCTATGGGCAACAAGATCTCAAAACACTTTGTCATAAGGTTCAATGCAGTGGTAATTGTTTTTTACAAGCAGGTGCAAATAACTAATCAGAATATGAATTCCATTGCAGCCTCATACCACATACTATATACGGTAATTATTTACAGATTAAGCTAGCCATACAGCTTACGATTGTCATTCGATTTATTTCGTCCCGCCACTGAACCCCCATTCGATTTACGCACGACTGCCCCATCATGCACAGACCAATGTTGATTTCGATTATCATTCTTTAGCAATACTAACTGGACGAACTTCGTCGATCGAGAGAATGGATTTTCCTTTGCAGTGCAGTGTTCATGTTGCGATTTTTGGCAGATTTTCGGCTTTCAAGCAGGCTAGTAACTTTTCGTCTCATTGGACGAAAATCGTTGGGCTATTGGCCAAACCTCAAGATGAAAATTGCACATGCTCAAAACGAAAATGTGGTCGTTCGATCAATGAAAATCGGTTAGTGGTGCGGACGACCGATAATCACAAACTACATTGGTCTGTGCATGATGGGCTGTTTAAACGAAAATTGAACAAGGATGAGATGTCTAAACAAAAAAAGTTGTCGGTTGTAAGGTGTATGGCCAACCTAAAAACAGAACTATGGGGTAAGTGTTTCTCCCCATAGTTCTCTTTAGGGTCACGGGAGGACATATACTAGCATCCTCCCGTGACCCAAAGCTCAGCATATTGTGGGCTATTGCCCGCGATATACTGTGAGCGCTGCAGCGGGGACAGATCCCGACATTACTGTCGAGATCCACCCAGCTGCATGAGTGACAGCTGGCTTTGTCTATCTAGAGGCAGAGCCAGCTGTGCCCGCCCCCTCCCCTGCTCATTCCTTCAATCAGCGCTGGAGGATAGGATAGGGGAGGGGGGGGGAATCCATGCGGGGAACGGTGACTGACTGTCACCGTTCACTGCAGGGAGAGACGATCGAGAAGTCAGTGGATCGGCTGCATGTTTCACCGTTCACTGCAGGGAGACGATCGAGAAGTCAGCGGATCGGCTGCATGTTTCTGCTCACTTCCTGATCGATTGAGCCGACCTGTGACAGCTTGTCACAGGTCGGCTCTAACTATGAGGATGAGTGGAAATCACTCCCCTCATAGATATCCAGTGCCGAACAAATCCCAAAAGCAAGTTAGCCAAGTAATAGCTGCTTAAAAAAATTACGACAGCTGGTGCCCAACTTGAGGGGTTCTCACTAATCAATGTCAATGGAGCGGACTCCTAAATTAAAAAAACAAAAACCTGCTGGCTCCTACATAGCATATGAATTTGTCCACATCTGATCTAACAGAACATGCAAATTCAATTGCTTAATGTGGGAAGCCAACCAAAAACCATTTTCTCCAGTTTTGGATACAGTGGGAAAGGGCTAGACCTGTTACAAGCCTTTTTTTGCCATCTTGGACCCAGTCAGGGCGATTCATTTCTCATCCTGCCCGGGTGACCAATAACACCAGGACAAGATGCGAGGGTGGAAAACTGCCCAATGGGGCAACCAGAGGCGAGATGTATCACATTTGGGGAAACCACTTGCTTACTATTGCGTCTCCAGGACAAGAACTGAGTGAAATCTTCCCAATGGAGACAGACTGCAAAGGAATAGAACCATGACAGAAGTTCTAACCATTCTGCACAATATCCAAAGCTAGAAGAACATTTATGGCTGCAGTACCACTCAGCAATGATATTAAAATTGGCTAACAATAAACAGCCCAATGAAAGATCATAAATAGCCCAATGACAGGAAACAAAAATGCTCCATATTCCAAACATTGTTATAAATGAGTGTTTTGACCTCTTGGGGACAACACCATGCCCTTCCAGTGGACAGAAGTGCTCTTTTTGGACAATACAACCAGTTCGCTGAAGAGTTGTAACTTATTGGAAATCTCTCTTCAGGAGAGCATTGAGTGTTGTGTGAAATGTATCAGAACCATTGACCTGTGCTAATTTTTTTTTTTAAAAGGAGATATTTAGCAACGACACGAGACTTATTTTTTTAGGTTTTATGGATGTCTTGGTGGCTGTGAATGAACCTGACCTCTGCTGGGACCTCTGGCTGGGGAATGCAAACCAACCTGGAGCAGTGCAAGCTGTGATAAATAGGTGGTTTGTGATCCCCTAAGGGACAATGACAAAGCACTTCCAGTAGTCACTGATCTTTTTTTGGACAATGCAACTTGTTCATCATTGTCAGAGCTGCAACTGGTTGGAAATTTCTCTGCTAGCGGGTCAGACAGATGTGTATAAAAACAGAGTACCGTACATATGGTCACCATCAGATGAGAATCGAAGAGTGTCTCAGCAGTCAGCTGACTCACTGGATGAAAAGAACATATTTCTTTAGGGAGGCGGTTGACTAGGTTGAGTATCTATAGCCCCCTGCATCTCTGTGCTGAGAAAAGCTAAGTGGATTAGTGGAAACTGACAACAAGTGAATCAACTCAATGATACTAAGACTATTAGGACTTCTGTCAATGAGTCACATGTTTATTACAGTTGTCATTAACCCGTTCAGAGGGAGACATTTCCTCCATGGTTGACACCACTTAAAAAGGTCCTTTCCTAGGTCATGCTCATTTCTCAAGATATTTTCTATATGGACTTTAATGTCCTATAACTATCTCTCTCATCATAGCACAGTTACTAAAAACTGATTTTTGTTCTACTTTAACCACACTTTTATACAGGTTATTTTAAAAAGCCAAAATACCAGCAATTATTACCTAAAAAGTGATCTTGACAGCTGAATCAGAATGTTTCCACTAATCTTTTTTTCTATCTGATTGATTGCTATAAGTTACTGCACGTCAGCCTTGTTCTTTTATTTAACGGTGACTTGTTGAATATTTCTTAACAGGATACCATCATGATTAAAGAGAACCTGTCCTGGCAAAAATATGGGGTGCACTGACATCTCCTAAAAATGCTAGCCGTCCCGCTGATCCACTCACTTTTAGTTCACCGACCAGGAGTTGTGACTTAACTAGCCTCATACTTGTTCTGGGTCATTAATGCAGAAGTACTGAAGTCAAAAGCCTAGTGTCAGGAAATTATCTGACAGAGGTCACCAGTGACTACCACTGTATTTATCTCGCTGCAGCTTTCCTTTAAACATAACATGCTTAAAAAGAAAAAGAAAACTGTGCAAAGTTTGCTAAACAAAGAAAAATCAAAAGCATTTCCGTGGAC